TCACTACTGAGCAGTTTTCTAACTCTAAGGACAGGCAACTTATCTCCAATACTTTCTCAGGATCTTGCTTGTCCCCAGCTCAGGATCCTCTACTCATATCAATCCTCCCCAGAGATTGGCCAGAGGTGCCCCTGATCAATACTTTTTTCCCTAGCTCACTTTGACCCTCCTACCCCACCCAAGGCTCACTCGGTATCTGTTTCCTTTAGGATGCCGCAGCCCCATATGTCCCAACCCAAGCTCTCATTTTTCCTCCAAGAATCTACTGCTTCTGCTGTGGCCTCTGTTTGGGTGAAAGGTACATCCTCCATACATTCACCCAAGCCAGAGCCCCCAGGAGTCCTCCAGCATGCTTGTCCCTCCATAAATATCACAACCCATCCTTCCTCATGTCCGAGTGATTCTATCATCACCATCTAGAACTTCTCCTCAATTCCCATTGCTTCTGCCTTGTTTAGCATCTTGTTTAAATGAAAGCACTAGACTCTAATTTTGACTGCCTCTCCAACTCTCCCATTACACTGCTGTCAGGGTGGCAGCATATATGCCACTCCCACCAGGCCTGCAAGAAACTCCATCTCAGTCATGAATTCTATCTTTTACCCTCCACGCTAAGGTCTGTAAGGTTTTTGCGAATAGCTTAATGCTCTGGAATTGCCTCAGATTTCCCTCCCTCACAGGTTATTACTGCGTGTGATGCCCCTTGTCCAAACAGCATGGTGCCTTGAGATCCTGGGGTGTCTACTTCCACAGGCACCAGACTATACCACCAGCATCTAGAATCTAATACTCATGCCACATTCTGTAGCCACTTCCTCAGGAGTGCTACCACCATCTGGGGATGGCAGCTGTAACAGGCTACCAGTTCCCATCCCAGAGGAAATCAGCTCGTCTCAGTTTTAGGGTGGGTGCACCAAAGCCACCCACCACCAACCTCTCCCATCCCTACCATAACCTCAGTTAGGGGCTCAGGCATTCACAGAGCAAAGACCAGGACTGGAGGTATCTTCAGAGAACTTCTGCCTTCACCCTTGCTACCCAAACCTCCTTCTTAGAACAGGCAACCATACTCCTTCTGACAAACTCTCCAGGGAAGCCCCAGACCTCCCAAAATAGATCTCAAATTCTTCAGCCTGGCATAAAAGTCTACTGATTTTGCCCATCTGGCCTTCTCTCCTGTCAGTGAGCTTTCTAGAAATGTCCAAATAGTTAATGCTTTCATCTTGCAAGAACTTACTATGCACCAGGCACTATTCTGAGTACTTTATAAATATTAACTCATTCAGCCCTCCTAACCACCAAGTGAGATGTGAACTCTTATTATCCCCATTTTACAGATGAGGAAACTGAGGCAAGGAAGGTTAAGCTACTTATCAGTTTACCCAAGTAGTAAAACAGTAGAACTGGGATTTAAATCTAGAAAGTTTAGTTTCAGAGTCCCCCCTTTTATCCAGCCCTGGATGCACAGTGGAGCCACTTGAGAGAGATTTAAAATAACACCAATGCCCAGAACCCACCCAGAGATTTTGTTGTAGTTGCTCAGGGACAACACCTGGGAATCTATGTGAAGCTCTCCAATATTTCTGTTGCCCAGCCATGACTGAGCACCACTCCAGCAAACTCTACTGCCTCTGCCAACTAAGTGCTACTTCCAGGTGGGATCTGTGCTCCTCTGTCTTTCACCCACCAGTCCTTTATTTCCCCTGTCAGGGCTCCCATTGCCACCTGTCTCCCAGGGTGCCTGTGAGCCCTTGGAGGGGGAAGTACCCTGTTCACCTCTGTTGCCCAGCACTGTCTGAGGCCCAGAGCAAATGCTGAGTGTTGAGGGGGTGACTGGTGCTAGGGCACTGCTGCCCACACTGGCTGCAAATCCTGCAGGGCTCTGTGCCCATGTACCTTCTCCCGTCAGCTTCCTTCCTTTGGTCATGGGGAGGAGCTGCCCATCAGGCCTTTCCCTTTTAGTTATTTGACTATCTGCCCAAACCAACTTGCAGCATTTGCTCCTCAGCAGTTTAAAATACTTGGTTCTGCACATGAGTCAGGAGAACATTCACCACCTTGAAATGTATTCAACAGTCAGGCCAGCAGATACCAGTGGAATTCTCACTCAGAAAGTCTGTCAGTGTTTTTCTCATTGCTTCTGAGAATGCTTAATTGGCTAACGTTTGACTTATTTCTACAGAATCACTGCATCAAATTGTCATGTGAAAATTGCCAGTTAAAAAAAAAAGAGACATCATTTTTGTGACTTCAGCCACTTTGCATTTCTATGATATCTGCTGTATTATATAGTTAGGTAAAACTTTGGAGTCTCAATCAAGTCTGACTAGAAAATCATTGTGGAGTATCAAAGAAAGGTCATGGTCTCCAACTCATGTGACCTAGATCCACTGATGAGCTGTGAGGTTCAGGGCAAATCACTCAGCCCCTCTGGTATGTGTCTTTATCACATGCAGAAAGGACATAGTGGCACCACCTCTACCCAAGAAAGTTCTAAATATTCAAATGAAAGTGGCTCTGGATGCCTTTTGAAAGGATAAGGTGCTTACAAAAACAAGGTGGTCACATTTAAGAAATCTTTGAGACTCAAACTCCAAAACAAAACTCTCCATCTGTCTTTCTTTATACTGTCTTATTAATTTAGTTAATTATATTTTCAGGAGAAGTTTGAATTTAGTGTGAATCTCTTCCCAGTTCTCTGATGTATAGCCTGCATGTGTCACACAACTGGTGGTCACCATGGTTACACAAAAAATGCAGCAGTTGCAGGCCCATCAATTTTCAGGAAGAACCAGTCAAAACTGTTAATATTATGTCAAGTTGATGTGTCGTTTTCCAGTTTGCATGGATAGCTGCATTGCAGCAAATTAATTAAAACAGATAAATGTTAATCTAATGCATGTCTCCTTGTAATTAATGAAATATAACCATTACAGGAGTGTTTGATTTATTATTTTAATTTATAAAATGCTGAATTCTCCTATAAAGTTAGTTATAGTAATAGGAAAAGCTTACCCATATATAGCATTAAGAAAAATAATCACATTTCTATAAATTAATCACTCTCTAAAAGGATATAGTTCATTAACACTATGAACTGAAAGTGTTGGATGTAAATTAGATTAACCTTTTTAGTGACACTTCCATTTATATTGCACATTCTCTTCAAACTAAAAGCACTTTACATATATTAATTCAATTAACCCTCCCCAGACCCTTGTTAAGTAAGTACATATATCAAAGTTGGTAGGGAGGAGAAATGAAACCCTTCAAAAATACTGAAATCCTGGCCTTAGGATGTATGATTTATGATTTCCTCTGCAGCAGTACAGTTTATCCAGATTTATATGGCTTGAGAACATGGGTACATATCCATGCTGTCTCTCTCATGCTGCCAAGAAACCCTTAGGATGTCACTTCATGCCGGAAGCTGGAGATGCTTCTGCCTGAAGCTTAGGCCAGATGCTGTAAGGAAAATTCTGTTTTATTTAATAAAATGCACCCCAGCAACTCTGGGTTTGGTGGTAGACAGGGCATGTCCAAGTGGGTAAGGGTGGCTAGACCTTAGTGCCCCATTCAACAACCAGAGGGCCATCATCCCTTGGGCTTGCTGCTACTCCACCTCTACCCTCTTCACCTGATCATCTGGAGGCTCAGGTCAGACTGCAGCTCTTGAACAAGACCTTGGGATGCTACTGGGAGGAGAAACAAGGATCTGCAGGGAGGTAGAGCTGGACATCAATCTTCTCAGCTGGGGTCCCTCCTCAGACTTGTATTGGTGAGGGGCAGAGGCTGCTGCTCCCTCACCTGCTGAGATGGAAGGCAAGGATCAGCCAGAAGAAGACCGCACTCTCCATTCTGCCTAAAAGCCTGTTTCTCAAGGAAAGTTTCCTGAGTGAGGATCTGTGTTTTCTGCTGTAGTGTGTCACTAGGAGTGCCCCATCTTTTATGAGGCCATGCCTCTTTGGAGCACTTACCATTATTGCTCAGGCTTCCTGGAAATAATTATGCACCTGGAGAGAGGAAAAGGATGGAAGCAGTCTTACATTATAAGAGCTAGAAGACTCAGGGGAGAGACTACAAACGTTTCCTTAGTTTGAGTGAATATGTGTTTGGTGACTTGAGGTTCTGGATGTTCATTTTTCCAACCCTTTCTGCTCCTTAAAGTTCTCAAATGCACAAGCACTCTTCTAGGGGCAGTGTTACACTGTATTCCACAAACCCGTCTTCTTTGAAATAGAGTGCATCTCAGATAACAGCCTGCCTTGTAGCTGATGGTTACAAACCTACCAAGGGCAATGGCTAACCCAAAGGAATGAATCACTAATGATAAGACATGAAATCTAGTGTAGAAGAAACATTTTAGAGTATTTGCATTCTTCTCCCTGACTCTGCAGTTAGAAAATTTCTTACTCTGGTCCTCCCAGCCAACATGCAAGGGCAGTTTAAGCCCGCAGTCTTAGAATCTCACCACATTGTACTCTGCCAATACTTCTTGGTGCACATCTCTTTGCTGCAAATTGCCCTAGCTTCTCTCCTCTAAGTACTGCCTTCCAGGGATTAATAATCAGGACTTAAAGCCAAGAACTAAAATGTTACCGTTCAGGAAACTCACAAAGATGCTGGAGAGTGAGAAAAAATATTCACTTTTCAGTTCATGATATTTTAAGAGTTTTCTTTTTTCTATGATACTTTTATTTGTGGGAGAGTGGACCATCATTTGGAGTAGGAAAGAAAGCTAAAATTACTCACAACAAGAGTAAAGCAATGTGATAGCTAAGACCCTGATTTCACCTTCCCAGATTTATTTCTGTTGTTTTTTTTTCCTCCCAAAGGAAAACCAATTATTTTGACTTTATTGTGCTATCATCAGAAATGTCAAGATGGCTGTATCTTGCTTTATTATTAATGTTAGGATTATATTTAAGCCTTTTTAGTAATTTACTGTGACTTTGATTAGAAGTCATAAATAAAGCATTTGTATCACACTTACATTTTTTCCGTTTTTTTTTTTTTTTTTTTTTTTAACAATTCCTGCCTCCTTTCCATGCCAATCTTCCAGAAATTAGATTCCAGTCTTCCTAGGGAGAAGGAACTCAAGTCAGGGACCAGCCAAGAATCTTTGCTTGAAACTGTAGCTTTTCCTTGAGTTTGCTTTTGAAATATTCCACCACTACTTTGTCCCAATGGCCACTGCAGCAGAAGAGGAGAAAAAACAGAATCATCACATTAGCCTTTAGCACTCCTCTCGTCCCTCTCTTCCCTTATCTTGCCCTCACCCTTCCAGGATCTTTCTCTTCTTGTGAAGGTAGGGTTTGGCTGCTCCCTGGGAGCCACTCCTTAAAATACTACCCATAATGGAGAGAATCATCATCATCCTAGCTTTACAATTTGTGTTTTCTCAATTCAATGGAAAATGTGAGTAAAAACATCTTTAGAAAATATTGCTACATTTTGGGCATGGTGGTGGGTACCTGTAATCCCAGCTACTCAGGAGGGTGAGGCGGGAGAATCACTTGAATCTGGGAGGCAGAGGTTGCAGTGAGCCAAGATGGCACCATTGCACTCCAGCTTGGGTGACAGAGCGACTCCATCTCAAAAAAAAAAAAAAAAAAGAAAAGAAAAAAAATTATTGCTACTTTTATTGATCAGAACCAGCCAAACTTGCTAAAGAGAGAGAGCTTGCTATGAGCCACCACTTCAAAACAAGTCACCTGTTCTTATATAAGAGGCCATTTGATCGGAAGTGTGAATGTGGTGACTTGCTTTGAAGTGGTGGCTCATAGCAAGCCCTCTGTCTTTAGTAAAATGCTTTTACTCACATTTTCCACTAGCTTGTGGACTGATCTCTCTTTCGTCCAGTTCTACATAGCCCTTGGTGGATCTTCCAAATACACACACACAGTCACTCCTGCTCAAAATTCCTCATGTTACTTCTCCACTTTCATGATACAGTCCACATTCCTTGGCTTGTTTTAAAAGGCCCTTAGTTGGTGCCTAGCTGTTCCTGGGCTAGAATTGAAGCTCTGTGTGAGCACAGCCCAGCACCTAGCCCAGTGTCTGAGTGAACAAAGCGGGGAACCCTCTCTGCACTTGCTCCTCTCACTTCAACCCCGTGTGCAGGACAACCCAGTTTTCTGCTTGGAGGAGTTTTCCTGTGTTCCGTCTGCTGTGCACACTGCTCTGTCTCCTGCTGTACTTTGTCCTGCCTGGCATCCTGGCAGGCCTCCCTCATGCTGTCAGCATTTCTGGGAATCCATCCCTGGGCATCCCCTGGGGCACTCCCTTCCCTTCATGACATGGCTCCCATATACAACTCCACAGTGGCACTGCTCGATTGCATTGTCATTGCTCACCTGTCTGCGCCTCACTAGACTGTGTTTCTTCTTCCCAGGTTCTCAGATTCGGTCTAACACTATGGATCAAGTAGGTGGATGAATGATGGATGGAGCTCCCTGGAACCCAGCTCTTTGCCTTGTGGGGAAATGTAAGGCTGGTGTGTGGGGTTTTCCTTGTCTAATCTTTCTCCTTCTTTCCCTGGGATCCCCAGTATTCATCTCCTCAGTACACATACATCAGGGCTGGCAGAGCAGGAGGATTAGGAGAGGTCAACATCCTAGGCAGGGCCCTACTCGTTATTGCTGGCATGAGCTGATACGTTCAAGGTGGGGAGATAGAGCCCAGCTGGGGTTAGGGGCCTGTTGGGTATAAGTTATGGCTGGGGAGCAGAAGCTAGATAGCCCAGGGTCATGAACCTCTGCGGCAATTTCCAGAGTGTGCACCCTTCTTGGATAATGAATGTAAATTACCTTTGCCGTCAGTGAAGTGGCATAGACATAAGCCCCCACTTTGCTCTGTAGCATTGGATATCAAACACTATGGGAGAATATCTTCTGTCACGCACTGATGAGAATTTGGTTGTAACCATCGGCTGCTGCAGGTGGATCTGATACTTTCCCATGTCGTTCCTTGGGTCCTCCTTGCTCCCATCAGCATTCCGTTAAACCCTAGACTACAAGTTTTAAGTGGATAAAGCATGCTGCATTTTCCAAACAGGTCATTAAAAACAATTTGCAATTTATGGTATCAGATGCATGTGTGTGTAGAGGCAAGCATGAAGTTTTTAATTGGAAAAACTTTGTCTTCAATTAAAGTGGGATGCTGAATGTGATGAGGCCTGTGGAGTTCTGAGCCCACAGCTAGGGAGGCAGGGCAGCAGGAAGAGGGGCCAATTTGTGGCTGTGCTGAGATTTCCAGGTTGTGTATGCAGTCCACAAAATGAACAAATAGGAGTCTCTCTGAAGTCAGAACATTTACTTTTTGCTGGGATTCCCTTATGGTAATCCATAAGGATATGCTGGTTCAGTTCTGAGTGATAAAGCTTTGGTGCTATACATGGGGAAATACCGTCTTCCTCAACCAAACCAAAATCCCGAGCTCTGAGGCTGGTGTTGAGAGGGTCACCTTCTGAGGCACAGTCCCCAGGAACATGGGGGAGAGCTAGGTTGCTAATAGCCCTGATTCTGCCCTTGAAATTCCCTTTCTTTCTGCCACTCCCTACATGGGTTGAGATTGAGCCGAGACAGAATAGACCTTTTTTTCTGTAATTCTGGCTCTAGTGGAAATAACATTTTCCTTTAGATATCAAGGCTTGAACTTGGACCAAACAGGATTTTACCAAAGTTTCAGGGTGAATAATGGAAATAAACGTAAAGAATCATGAACTTTCAACCCTATCAGAACCAACGGCCCGTTTTTACAACACATATTTTCTAGTGTCCCCATTATTATTTCTAAAATGAAGTTTACTGATACTGTTATGCACTTATATAATCTAACAAATCAATATAATGTCTTCACTGAATACAAAGAAATTAAAAGTTAAATAATGTATAATAAAATGATATGTATTTCAACAAATGCTTGGGCCAACCATATGAGAGGAAGTAGTGAATTAGACGCTTGTCGCCAGTTCAGCAGCAACACCATGTGAATCACTGTGAATTCAACAGCTGCAGATGCAAACAGATCTGTGTGTGTTGTTTTGGTGATTCAGATATCATGGGCATATTGTGTCAACGTGACTTTTTTAAATGCTGAAAGACTTCTGGCAATATTTTGAATAAGACAAAGCATTCTTTGGCCTCAATTCATAGGATGGTTGTATTCCTGGAAAGCTCAGGGTTTATCAAAGCTGCACCAAGAATATCCAGCTGACTCACTTTAATGCCACTGGCATAGGGAAGAGAACTGTGGAGCTCTAGATGGTGTGCTGGGGGCCATTCAGGCAGAGAGGTGCCTGGACCACCCCTCCACCACACATGCACTCATCATTTCCTGGTTCTAAGAGGTACCCAAGAAGTATCTCATATGTGCTTACAGGCTGAAATTGCCTTAAAGGGTAGACAACTTCTGGGACAGTAAATAGGTCTTTCTAAAGACCTTTTTGGGGAAAAGAGGAAAATGTCACCAGCTGGTGGTCAACTGAAAGAGGCCAGGATTTCACAAGGAGATCTTCTGGAGAATAGGGTCTCCCTGATGGGGGATGCTGGAAGATCTATGGGGGAGCCCATAGATCATGTGCTAGAATATCATTTAGACCAAGCAAAAGGAGGATCACTACTTTGCCAGTTAAGCATGGAGACGTCTCGGGGTCTTTCCCATTACCTGCTTCTCTACCTGACACAGAAGCACTGTAAGGGGGTATGAGGGGGAGACCACACTGGGCCCAGAGACAATGACCTTTGGATCAGATATAAGATTGAAGTTTAAAAGTGAACTAGACTAAGTATTCGTAAACAAAAAAGAAATGAAAAGCAATGGAATTGGGCTGCAATATCTTTAAGGCAGCTGCCACCCTTTGGGAAAGAGAAGCTTGACAAATCATGGTAGGGAACAAAAATAACATCATTTGATGTTTATAGTCCAGTGGATTGGACTCCAGCAAACTGGCTAGAGTGTTTATTAAGGTCACTACTGATATTTCAGAGATAAAATGCTGTTCTCTTGGATAAAAATTATTCCTTAATGTTCTCATGGATAATTTAAAGGGGTGAGGGTTTTTATTTTGTTTTTGTTTTTATTTTAATCCCTAGGTGGCTGTTTCTTTTTCCCCCTCCTCATATAAGCATGAAGTGCTTCTAAGAGAGAGGCTGGATTGCCTAAGAGAGTTTCAGCAACTTTGAGATGAAAATACATTTTAATATTTTGATTTAATGGGGAATGGTATAGCCCCTTAATAAGTAGTTCAGTGACATTTGGTAGTTCTGTAATATTTGACTTGGAGTTGAGTTTATAAAAATTTCAGCCCAACAGTAACTTCAGAGCACTAAGGGATGTATGTATTTCTGAAATGAGAAGACCTGGTTGACATTCTGATTCTAAAATCAACATCATCCCTTATGCGTCACCATATTTTCAATTATAATGGATGATGGGCTGTGAATTTTAAAAACAGCTTCCCTGCAAGCTCCTGCACAGACCCAGCTTGTATGCAATAAAAAGAAGAGCTTGGGAGGGAGAAGAATGTCCTCATGCCCACTCTTCTGACTTGACTTACTAAAATGCTTCCTTTTCAGAGACTGCTTTGGTTTTTTGCTCCCCACATTGGTTCCTTGGGAATTTTTTTAGAACGTGGAGTCTTTTCTAACTTTGCAGGGAATTTGTATCCTGATTGACCGAAATGGTCGAGCTTTGGAAGGGTAAAGTCCTGTCAATAAAAGCCTGAGATTTTATGAAATACCTATGACAGCCAGACAAAAGTATGTCTAACAAAAAATTGGGGGAGCAAAACAGATGCTTAGGGCATGGTGTTCTTGCACCTCTGCCATTTCAGGATAAATTCAGGCCTTTGCTACCAGTTCATTTCCCATTTCACTGTCATCTCACCTTCCAAGTAGAAAATACCCTAAATGGATTATATTAGTTCCCAACATGCAATTCTTAGGCAGTGATTAAGGTCGGGATTATTCTCAGGTAGTCCCAGGATGCAATGGTTTTGTGGGTACTGGGCTTATGTTTGTTTTTACCAGGAGGTTCAGAAGCAGACCTTCCTTCCCCAAGGGTGGTCACAAAATCAGCTCTGAAATGGCCCTATATTCTACCCATAGCCAGCTCGAATGGGGAAGAGACAGCTCTATCCCCCACCCCACTGTGCTGAACTGGAGGAGTAGAATGGTTATTGAGTTAGGTGGGACATGCTAATAGTGGCTTAGAATTTGGGACTTCCTCCCCAGAGGGAATGTGAGCTTTGGACTGGGCCTCATATCTGGCCTTGACACCTTCTAGGAAATGCCTTTCATCAGGCTTAGTAAGGTGCAGGTTGAATAGAGACTAGATAGTCTCTGTCATATGGGCAGGGCATATCTGTTACAACCACCCCCTATGCCCACACAGATCCTCTCCCCTAAAGGATTGAGAAACTACCTATTGGGCACTCTGTTTATTACCTGGGTGATGAAACAATCTGTACACCAAACCCCTGTGACATGCAATTTACTCACGTAACAAACCCAACATATTCCCCCTGAACCTCTAGGGGAGAGGGTACGTGCGGACATAGAGGGTGCTTGTAGCTGTCAGTGCCGTGCCTGTATCCCTTCTGCTCATGCCATTTTCATGCAGGTAGGCCTGACTTCCAGCAGCAGCGGCCCTTTGCCTGTGGTCTCTCCCTGGCCCCTAGACCCCTCCGTGCTTGCCAAGTGTGGCAGGTCAAGAGTCAGAGGGAATTAATACCTTCAGGAACTATCCTTACCAATGATTGACAGGCACTGATGGGGCAGCATCCCAACTCCCCCGTCCCTCTTCCCTCAGGTGGGAGGATGACTGAGATATTTTACCCAGTGCCCAGGCATCTCCAAGAGGATTAAGCTCCAGTTTTGCCCACACTGGTAACTTGCTTCCAGCCTTTACTAGCTTTCTCCCCTTCCTGAGTCACTTTTCCACTCCCCTACTGGTATTTCCTGAGACCACCTCCTACACACCTGTGCTCAAATCCTTGCCTTAGGGCCTGCTTTTGATGGAGCCCAAACTAAGAGGGAACAAACAAGAGAAGTGCTCTGTGTGTGTGTGTGTGTGTGTGTGTGTGTGCGCGTGTGTGTATGCAGGCTTTTTTCCCATTCTTTTATTTTAGATTCAGGGGGAACATGTTGGGTTTGTTATATGGGTAAATTGCATGTCACAGGGGTTTGGTGTATAAATTGTTTCATCTCCCAGGTAATAAGCAGAGTTCCTGATAAGTAGTTTCTTGATCCTCATCCTCCTCCAACCCTCCATCCTCAAGTAGGCACCTGTTGTTTCCTAAGAGAAAGTATTTTGTAGAGCACTTGCTGTGTCTTTTCTGCATCTACCTATACAGTAAATCTATTTCAGGATAGCAATTCTGGGTTGCCTTTGGGCATCCAGTCAGACTTACTTGCCAGCTGTGAGGTTTTGTGGGGCATTTGGAGAATACTGAATAGTCATTGAACTCTCAGTGCTTGTATGCAGCACTTAAACTTGTCTTCACATCCATCTGGGGCTAGGAGACTTTGCTAGAATAAGATGTGCTGTGTTCTGCAGCTGGGGCAGGCACTGAGCCTGGCAGTGGTGTTGATTTCTCCTCTGGGCTCAGGACTCTGAAGGCTCCTTGAGGGCAGGGTTGCCATAGCTCCTTTCCCAAGATCTGGGGTATAGTAGGCACCCACCCTTTGGAGGTGAAATGAGTTGAATTAAGTTGAGTGCCTGCAGCCTACATAATCTAAGTGTCTGGGGGAACATCTGGCACCTCTGATCATAGCCAGATTTCTCCAGTGTCTGTTTTCAGCGTTTTCCCAGAGCACCTATAAGTGAATTTGCAAAGCACTTACCTCTGTCTTCACCACTTCTTTTGATGGTGTGGAACAGCTGGCAGAACTAAAAATCCTTCCCCTATATCCACCATAGCTAGCACACAGGTCTAAATTACTATGGCAATTCAGGTACTTCAGGGAAGACAATGAAAAGTCTGATTGATACAAATTCTTCTTTCTCTAAGAGACTGAGTGCACCAAGCCATTATCAGCTGAGCAGTTTGATGTGAGTTAGTCCATTAGCTTAGACACATGGCCCAGCTTAAGTGGATGGGATTTAGTATCTTTTACTTTTTTGACAGCCAAGTAACTTTATTTCAGTGAGGAGAGTGTTAGCATATATAATATATATTTAATATAGAATATATATTGCTATATATACACATATACACACATACATGTATATATGGCAATATTGCTCTATATATATACACACACACACACACGGCAATTCCAGTCACTGAAGTACAACATCTGATCTATTTGAAAAGTTCTCTTAATTCTGGGTGGCTGACCCATGCGTTGTGTGTGAGTAGTCTATGAATCCTCACAATGCCACTTAGAAGCTACAGGATGCTGAATAAATTGCATAACTCCTCTGTGACTCAGATTTCTCATCTCTAAAATGGGTATATTAAACTCTAGCTCAAGAGGCTGTTGTAAAGCTACAGTAAGCCTTAGAATATAAAAACCTGGCATACAAGAGGCTGGTGTTTTGCTTATCCATTGCTGCCTAACAAACCCCTGCACAACTTAGCGAAACAGTGACCATTTGATTATGCTCACAGGTCCTGTGGCTCAGGAATTTAGATGTGGGGTTATAGTTTATCCCTGCTCCACGATTTCTGTTGCCTTGAATAACTGGGGGTTGGGATCATCTGAAGGTTTCTTCAGGCCGGGCTCATAGGCTGCTATTGGCTACTAACAAGGTCCTGTACATGGTCTCCACATGGCATTCAGCTTCCTGACTGGATCATAGTAGGGACAAAAATAACATCATTTAATGTTTGTAGTCCAGTGGATTAGACTCCACCAAACTGACTAGACTATTTATTACGGTCAATGCTGATGTGTCAGAGATAAAATGACTTCAGGATGGTTATACTTCTTACCTCGTGGATCAGGACTCCAGTGCACAGGGACTTCTTGTGGATTTAGCTGAGTCCCTCTCCGAAGTCATCCAGAGCTAGGCCCTTCTCATCTCAGATGTGCCTCTCACTAGCTGATGGCTTGCGTTTCTCCTGGATTCCTTTTGTTCCTGACCTTGACGTTCACTACAGTGGTCTCTATGCTCCGAGAGACAAAGGATGGATAGGGGACATTCATTTCCTGGGGAATCACAGCCTCTGAGGTGGGCAGCATGCATGGAGGGAGCTCTGGAGCAAAGATGGAGTCCCTGGAGAGGGTTAGACCCAAAGGCTGGAAAGATGTGCAGAGACAGGGGGTGGTAGGACCCTGAGGATAGTTACGCGGCTTCGTTAAGTTGCACTCAGCCTGCCCTATATCTAACCCTTAAGGAGCACTCACCAGGAGCCATTCTGTTCTGGAGATTTCTCATGCATCAGACTACCTGAGATTTCCCTTGTCATGACTCTGTGAGGTGGGTCTCCTGACTTCCCTATTTTCCTGTTATGGAAACTGAGTCTCAGAGAGCTTTGGAAAGTCCATAAGTAGTGGTATTAGGAGGTGAACCCAGAGTTCAGAGCCTATGCTGGTCATGTTGCTTCGGTATTCAGCATCCCACTTGGTAACATGTTCTCATATTTTGTTCTATATTTGTTGTGCATTATTCATTTTCTCTAACTCTACTTCATACTCATTGAAGGCAAGACTATGCCTTCTCTTATATTCTCCTCCTCTGCAGATGTGAGTACCTTAGAAGAGAAGACTGGGGCTTGACAGAGAGGCCACCATCCTTCTCAGCGGCCCAGCATGGTGACTGTCTTGTTAGTCACACCTGCTGGGCTTGGGTCGATAGAGAACAGAGAAGGCATTGTTGCTCACATCCTATTCTCCAAAGGAAATTTTGTTCTAGTTTATTGTGAAAGTATTGGTTTTGAAATTGAAACACAGAGGTCTACTAAAGTGATGTTCTGTTTGGAACAGACTCTCTTTTTTTCCTGTTTTCAGGTGAAAAGCAATAACCATGAAGAAAATGAAAGAAAACCCTCTAAAGAATAGTGTCAATGGCTCTGACAGGTTAAAGCTGTAGGATAAATGCAGAATTTACATGACAAAAACTTTGAGTACAACGCTGATTGTCATTCACCAGTAATAGGATTCTCTGAAAAGCAAAAATATCTTAATTAAAAAAATACATAATTTATTTTTGCTGGTATGCGTCCTTTTGCCTCACCCTCACAAACTAATTAGACTTGAATATCACTTTCCCCAAACTTAACTTTACCAAGGCTGTGTCCGTTTCATCCGTAATGTGCCCCCTCCCCCCGCTTCCTGGGCTTAGCAGGCTGCTTAGAGCAGAGAAAGCTGCAATGAGTGTTGCCAATTTGAAAGACAGGTTTTTTGCCCTCAGATGATTTAAGTTTTGATGCAGAAACTAGCAAGCTGACAGATTAAAATATTAAATGATGATGCTGTACAGGAGGGCAACACAGACATTGAATGAGGCTGGAGTCAGGATTGGCAGAGGTGATGACAGCAGGTGATGCCTGCTCTGAGCAGGGGCCATTCATGCCTCTGGGGCTGCCCAGAGATATGCTGTCCAGCCTCATCTCTGCCACACCTGACACTTCAAGCTGAGGAAGAAATCAGGTGTTTCATCCCTCCAGGCAGCACCACTTACTCTCCCTGCAGGATCTGGGATGCCCTCATCTTCTCCCTACCCACAGCCTACATCCAGATCCCAACTGGTGCAGAGATCAAATATCCCCTCAACACTGACCTTCTCCTTGTCTTCTTAAAATGAAACTTCATCTTTCTCCTTCTATAATTTTGCCTCAACTCTAACCTGTATATGCCTCAAACAGAGTTTATGCAATCTTTACTTTTTTTTCTTATCTGAGAACCCTGATTGGTTTACTAGATAATGAGCTATGTGAAGGTGCAGGGCTGTCTTAATTCATACCTGCATCCCAGCATCTGGTAACTAATTGCTGACTGGCTGAATAGACAAAGGAATGAATGAAGTGATTTAATGAGATGGCCTTGGAGCATGGGGGACTTTACAGGGGTAATGAGGGTTTGAGGTTTGAGAGGGTTTCAGAGAGGGGAAATGATGTCAGCTCATGGCCCTAAGTCAGCAGAGGACATATGCCAGTTTGGGCACAAGCTGAGACCAGCCTGTTTGCCACAAGCTATGCTCGGAAGACCTGGGAAGAATAGGAATCCCATGGTCTTGAGCTGGAGGGGCTGGGCTAGCGCAGGAAACTTTTTCAGGCACTCACAGTTTCAGAAACACCGGGTGATCCCCTGTGTCAAACTCATCAAAGGCAAGCACTTGTCCTTCTGTTTCTGATTCTCATTTCCTGCTGAGTTACTGCCTGTGTGAAAGCAGCCGTGAGGTCCCCCCTGTTTGATATGGATCCACACTGCAGATGAAGTCAGAGCTGAACAACACAGGGCTTATCCAGGGTGCCCGGCTGCTTGCTCTCCTTCAAAAGGAGAAACTAGGGGCCAGCTCTCACACAGAAGGCCAGTCAGAGCAAATCCCTGCTCCTGCTTGACTTGTGGTCTGGATACATTGTTGCCCCTTGGCAGGGGTACAGCCACTAGAACATTTGCCCCATTGTGATGTCTCCTATGTCTCCGCAGTCATCAAACACCAAGAATATTGCTGGTCACTCTTGGGAGGGCTTATCAGCCACAAGGTGTATGTGTCCACCACTAGCCCTTGTCCAGGAGGTGTGAGGTGAGTTACATGTGCTCATTCATTTTTAGCTTTACCTTTCTCTTGTCTGTATTTCTCCTTTCTCTGCCTCAGTGATTACCTTTCTTTTGAGGCACACCATGCATTTCTGTACAAAAGACTGAAATCCATTATAGAATGTGGTAGGACATCAAGGAATAAGATAAATTTGATTTCTGTCCACGGTGGTATAATGAACGAGAAGTTGTGGCTGGCCATGATGTACCAGGTGGGCTGGGGGAAGGGAGATCAACTGGGAACCTGCAGAGAAGCACACCTGGCAGCTCTGTGCTCCTTTTAAGTGGCCAGTGTGTGGTTCTGTAGACTTGGGATTCAATGACAGTCTCATGCAAAGAAAACCCGATATGCATGGAACAATAGATAGGCTGTGAAGCATTGTACCATCTGATCCTGTCTCCACAGGTATACCATATTTCATCAGTTCTAAGATGGCTTTTGAAAAATAATAAAATCTCTTAAATCAGGATGAGCCTTATAATTGATGGCATCCTAGATGTGATGAAATGTGTTAAATGATAGTGTCATTCATTTGCCTGTTTGGTGTCAGATCTATTTCTACCCTTCTGTTACTTAGCTCTATATGATGGGAAACTACATCCTCCAGATGTCTTGCCAACTTACTTATGGTGAGAAAGGGGAGGCACTGGTGGAAGACAAGAGTGAGAGGAAGAGAGAAACTAAAGTATTTCCCCGTGTCTTTCTCTACCTTGGCCAATCTCACTGTCAGCGACCACCTCTCCTCTTCTGTAGCTCTAGCTTCTGGCACACATCTTCTGCCTTTGCTGAGCCCTGCTTGCAGAGGATGGCTGCCAAAGTTCCAGGTCTACCATGTGGTCCCTTCTTTTGTCCCTCCAGCCCTGGGGTGATAGTGGCTTCCTGTCTTGCCATTTGTTGCTTAGCTTCCCATTCTCCATCACTTGGGTAACTGATTCTTTGTGTTACATTTCCTTTCTTGGAGGCATCTAGTATAGTTAGTTTCTTCTTAGTTAAATCTTGACTGTTACAATGATACATCATCACCAGATTAAACAGATATTGAGGGGGCATTATTTCTCTTTCCCACATCCACACATTCTGCAGAATCTATTCTAGTTAGGGTGAGCAGTGGTATCTTTGATGCCAGACTCAGAGGATTCTTTGGGGTCTGTAGCATTTGACAGTGATGCCATCCCCATTTGTTGAATTTTCCTCCTTCATTGTCTCCTGGGTGATCACCCCTTCTTTCCCTTTGCTCCTTGAATTTTCCCCACTCTCTTTGCCAGTCATCTCTTCTGCAAGTCTCTAAACTATTGGGTTCTGTAGAGTTCTAAGCTCATTCTGTGCCCTCAGTCAACCCGCCCCCTTTTTTTTACTCTACCTGCTCACACCCATGGCTTTAAATACAACTTCTCTCTGCAGCACAGAACTGTTTCCCAAGCTTCAGACACAGAATGTCACTATCCACAACCACATTCTTTGGGTTATCTTATCCCACAAACCAAAATGTCTTTGACTGAGCTGACCTTCTCCTCTCCCATACCAGCTTATTCTCCTGTGTTTTCTATCTCAATGGATGGAACTGTATCCATTGTAAAATCCAGACTAGAAATATCCTGGGGTTATCCTGGACTCATCTCTACTTTACCTCCCAAATCCACCTGCTTTCCAAACCCTTTATTCAGTGGTGTGTTTAAATGGTAAACACCAGCTTTTAGGGGGAGAGAGAAGGGAAAGCCCTCTGATTTGCAGCATTTGCCAGTTTCTTTAGTGTAAATGCTCCCATCATGACTGATTTCTGGTTACCAGTGTGATATCACTGAGCATGGATTTGAAAGTGATGCCCGATTGGTTTCTGTGAGGTGAGCCAGCTCAACATACTATGGTGCTGTATCCATCCTCTCATTAGCATCTTCTCTTTCTCACCCTGTTTCAAGCCCCACCATTTTCCTTTCGGAGTTTTGAGATGTCTCCTCACTATATTCTCAGTCTTGACCTCCTTTGAGGCATCCCACACTAGATGTAAACATATCAGTCCTTAATAAAAAATAGCTTTAGTGGCTTCCTATTACCTAGAAGAGTATCAAAGATGGAACCTTCTTGGCATTTTTATTCTGGAGGACATGAGCCATGCTTGTCTCTCCTCCAAGGCCTAGTACTGAGTTTGGGCCACTAGTATCCACTTACTGTCTCTCTTGACATTTTGCTTTCCTTTCCTTCTGTGCCTTCCATCTCTTCAGCTGTTTTAAGCATTCCATCATATTATGAGCTTGATGCACTGCCTGCTGCACCATGGAGATAGGTTCAACCATGTTAGAATATTTGCCCAGCAGGCTATGTGATGCTGACCATGATAGAAGCCAAGGGCTGACTGCGCTTCATACCTGGGGGTTGGGAGACTCTTGAGATAAGGGGGCAGGATCTCCTCAGTGTGTCAGTCATTTAGAACTGTTACGAAGACTCTCGTGAAACACGTTGTTTAGAGAGTTACATTTTTGAGAAATTATTAAATAGGTCTTGAAAAACTGAAGAATATCTTGGATGTATGTTATATTACAGAAAATTGAGTCAATTGAATAGCCATCCCTTTGCCAGTTTGCTAACCCTTTCATCTAAAAATCACTCACAAAAATTTACCTGCCTAGAGATACAAAGCTGAGTAGGACAGGATGGAAGCTCACAGGCAAGTGAGTGACTCCAGAGTACCAGTACTTTTGTCTGTTGTTCACATAGGGAAGTCAACGAAAGGCTCCTGAAATTAGACTCAGCCAAAGTTAGTCCTTTTGTCTCATTTTCTTCTTTATAAAACCTGGTCCAAAGTACCCTGTCTCCCCGCCCCCAGGACTATTGTTTTGCTGGAGTTTTGATTCAAAAAGGGAGGTGTTTTAAGAACGTGAAATAGCATTATTATGAATTTGTCATGATTGTGCACGTGTTTGTGTGTCCCCTTGTATCCTTAACTTTTTCCTAGGTATTGTGGCAAGGTGGTATGGATGTGGCAGAGGAGGCATTAAGAAAAAGACCTCACCTCTGTCTTCAGGAAGCTCACACTCAACGTGTAGATAGAAGCAGGGTTTGAACAAAATATGCAACAAAATTAGGTGAAAACGAGTGGTGTCGATTTGCTGGTTCTCTAGGTTGTCTAAAAGTAGAAAAAGGAACATGGGTTCACGTTACAGGGTGGCAGTTTGCAGAGAAGACATTTCTACATTTTCACAGTGCAAGGGCTGAAAAAAGTCTATCTGTTTTTTAATAAGGGCTTGCCTTTTAAGGGACAAGAAAGACTAGAGGAGTTCCTTAAATATTGTTTATTTATTTTATAATTAAAAATATGTTCTTTAACGAAATACTTAAAAATAGTAACAACATTTTAAAATTTGCATTAAAAGATTAAAAATGAATGATAACCCCCATTACTCAGAGATAATCCTAAAGGTATTTCAGAGATTTTTCTATGCATATTTTTACATAATTTAGTTTATACCATATTTACAATTTATATCTTAGTTTTTTCCACTTAACACTAGCACATAAGTATTTTTCCAGGTTATTAAGAACTCCTCATAAATGTTACTTTTAATGGCTACATAATATTTCAATATATGAGTGTACTACAATTTATTTGAGTAGAGTTTTTTTGGTCAGATATATTAGTGGTTTCCAATTTTTCATTATAAATAATTCTGCAGTAAAAATTTTGTAACTTATTTTATGTCCTTCAGATACAGTTCTTAAGGAAATATCAAAGAATAAGAACATTTTAAGGTTTCTAATACATATCACCAAACTGCTTTTCAAGAGGGATCCATCAATTTATATTCCTATTTATATTGTTGCAAAACATCCTTTACTGTCATTTTTAACAGGTTCAATTAGCATACAATAAAGTGCACATATTGAAAGTATATGATTTGATAACTTTTGACATATGTATGTACCCATCAAGACATCATCACAACCAAGATAATGAACAAATATATGAACCCCCAAAGTTTTCTTATTTCCTTTTGTAATCCCTCCCTGCTACTCCCTTCCAATCTCATTCTTCACCCCATAGGCAACTACTGTTCTGCTCTCTGTCACTATAGATTAGTATAAGTTTCCCAGAATTTTATTTAAACAGAAGTACATAGGAACAAGAAAGATGAGCAGATTTCCTTACATTTGGTTTATTTATTTTGTAATTTAAAAAGTTCTTATTGTAGAAATACTGAAAAAATAGTGACAACATTTAAAAATTTGGATTAAGAATTTTCTTCTTTTTGTTTGGCTTCTTTTACTCAGTATAATCATTTTGAGATTCATCTGTTGTTGAATGTATTAATAGTTCATTCCTTTCTATTGCTGAATAGTATTCCATCATCTGTATGCACCACAATTTGTTTCTCCATTCAGCTGATGGACATTTACAGCGTCTTCAGTTTTTGGTTATTCTCAATAAAGCTGATATGAGCATTCGTGTACAAGTCTTTAGTGAACATATGCTTTAATTTCCCATGGGTAAATACCTAGGAATGGAATGGATGAGTTGTATGGTACCTGTATGTTTAACTAACTAGCATATTTTGTGACTGGTGATTATCTCTTAGGATAACACATTGATTTAATATTATTATTATTATTACAACACATTAAATTATTTTAATTGACTCAGTGAATATTTTTCTGGTCCCCTCATAAAGGATGAGAATGAGGAGGAGGGTGACAGAGACCCCTCTCTTGCCATACTCTTTTAGGAACTCAGCTGGGAGTAACCGAAAGGGACACTCTGTGCACACAGGGACTTCAGCCTCTGCTCCCCACACAGGGTTTGGAGCCTTACCTTTGCTCTATGTACCTCCAGACCCCTCCCTGTTTTTCTCAGAAGAGCAGTCTCAGGTGCTCTGGTGTTTGGTTTGAATGTCCTGCTTGAATTCAGCCTCTCTCTCTCTCTCTTTTCAGTACTTTACTATGATATGATCTAGTCCTACTTTTCCAATCACATTACCTCCTTTTCCTCTTCTATGCCCAGTAGACTTCCTAATATTAAGAGTGGGAGGTGGTGGCGATATGGGCAGGAAGAATTGAAAATAGCTCACAGATGACCCACCTTGGAGGGCCTACATTTCAGCATCTCTGGGGTTATTTTAGAACTAGGAAGAGGGGC